GTGTTGGGCATGTAAGATGATCCCAAATTTTTGCTTTGCTGTTTTGGGTTTCAAGGTCATCTTATATGCCAATATATATGGAAATTACATTTGACCCCACCTTCTCTTCCCTTGGTCTTGTTCACAAGACCTTTCCCATTGTGAAATTTGGCATTAGAGCTGAAAACTATTTCCTACCCTAGTGTAAAGGATTGCAGCTTAAAGTCCAGAAAAAACTTCAGTATAATTGTAGCATTTGTTGCAGTTTTCCCAAGGCGTAGAGTGGTAATACATGGCAAAACCAAACAAACACTTGAGCTAAATGAAGGGACATAGTATATTCTGGGGTTATATATATTTCTGATCACAATTCACATACAGAGGTAGATTCAGATAAATGCTGCTGTGCTCACATAATCTCTCATACTTCTGTCCTGACCATGCACAATTTTACAGCACAGCCAATATATTACCCTTCCTATTCATCAATAACCAGACTATAAAAATGAATAAAATTACTCAGAATACTGTAAATCATGTGAAATTCAATAATGCAAGTGTAAAATCATACATCTGGGAATTAAATACTTGTTTTTTTAATTGCCCAAGGGAAAAATGAGTTTGTGACTATGAGCAGCCAGTGTGACAGCTATGGTAAAAGCAACTTCTTTGTCGAGTCTGTAACCGCATAATAAAGATTGACTGACTGAGTGAAAGCAACTTCATGGAACCTTCCAATGAGTGACCCCCCCACACACACACTGAAGCAGAGGAGCAGGTGGCACCTGTGAGACCTCCACCTGTGCCATCAGTACCCCACCCTGCCAGCCACCTGCTGAGCAAGTACGGGAAGAGGCCCAACATGAGTATTGATGTTTCCACAAACAGCTGCTTCATCATGTGAAAGCAGAGGAAGATGAGGATAAAAGGTGTGATCATGCTCCCATTCTCAACATATGACAGGTATGGAATAGCTCTTCAGTTATTATTACATGAGATCTCTAGAAAGCACAGGGAGTACTAGAACATTTAGAAAAGGCCTTGATAAGTTCACATCCAGAATATGTGTCTAGTTTTGATCAAGCATTTCAAGGAGACTGAATGCATGTTTTAATTTGTTGTTGTTGTTGCTACTGTTATGTGCCATCGAGCTGTCTCCAATTTATGGCAACCTGCTAATTTTAATAGGTCTACAAGAACCATTACATGATCACAGCAATGAATAGTCTATTTGGTCAGCACAAATGTTAGATTAGTCTGTTTCACAAAGAAGGCCAAGGCATATCACTTATTCCTATGGATTTTGCTCTTGATAGGTTGAGGACTTTGGGACTGGAACCCGCCATCTATCCAAAGCCCTGATAGTAAGGGCCAGGCAGAGCAAGAAGGATACCCCAGTCAATTTTGCCTCCCATTCATTCCTTCTAGACCAGCCACTGACCCTATCTAGGGGCTTCAGGGAGAGAATGATGGTGAGGCCAAAGGAAAATTCTAGCATCACTTCTCCTCACCCCTGTCTCACTCCTTTTCCACCCTCTCCAAGCCTCCCTGAAGAGCAGTCACACTGAGCTTTCCACAGAAACTGCAAGAGGCAAAGCCTAGTGAGGAAGGACAATCAGATGTCAGAATTATTTATTCCCTTCAATATATACTCTTCAATAGCCATGCACGGCTCCCACAACGGTTTACGGAAAAACCTCTGTTTCCCTCTCCTGAAGTCATAGGAACTTCCTCAGTCTCTTAAGGGGGAAATTTGAGAGATCCACTGAAAACCCCTGTCCCCAAGGACTATCAGATTGTTCTGTGAATGTATCAGCAAATGTTAAGTTACTGAGAATAGCCTGGCTGTGGATGCAAGAATTAATGGCTAAGAAAGGGGTATTAAGAAGTTTAGCTTAGAATTCAGAAGAGTGTGTCAAATTCAACAACCTGGACAAATTATGGAAGCAAAGAATCTCACTAGGCTCTAGACACATTTAGAATAGATAACATTTGTGAAACCATTCTTTTGATATTTCAACTATAGTCCATTAAGGTCATAAAGAACTGTGTTATTCCTTCTTTTCATGTGATCTTAATTCCTTATTAGGACACTGCATGACAGCCAAAGAACACAATCCATCAGGAAGTTATCGTACATCAATCCTTTTGAAATGAATGGGAGCTGTGCTAGAGCATTCTTATGCAGCTCCCATTCAATTCAATAGAGCTTGCTTAAGATAATGTTGTCATGTTTCATAACCAAAACAACTGGCAGTTGGGGAAGCTATGCGCAATCTTCCCCCACAAGATTTGCTTGCACTCAGGGTTTAACTGACTACCATATTTAAAGTCAAAACTTTTCAAATGGGAGGAACGGTCATTAAAATGGGAGTGTAGCTTAATGTGAGCAAATTTCTGTGATGTGCTTTTTGCCCTAATAATACACCTTCATGGGGGAAAATCCTACCCTGATAGGGTTGGAGCTGGTGGTGGCTGACCAAGAAAGGGATTGCGTGGTTGTGATGGAAAGCTCATTTAAACCCAGCATGTAGCTGCTGTGAAAAAGGCAAATTTCATGTTCGCCTTATAGTTGCCTTATAGTTCATTATCACAGTATTCTTATACAAATGTATGGTGCAACCACACTAGGAATACATCTGGTTGCAGCATCTCCAAAAGCATGTTGTTGAGATAAAGTAAGTGCAAAATGATGAATGAGATGGAACAACTCCTCTAAAGGGAAGGACTGGTCAGTATCCTATGCTAACCCTTCAGCTAGGCATATTGTGCCAGAAGTAGCAAGAAGCCAATGCTTCCTGGGGCAATCCTGGAAACAAGGAAAATAGCTCATTTCTGGAAAAAGTAAGTGGAGTCCTCTTCTAATTCTGTTAATGTTTCATTCTGGAAACTAGTCTTGAAATCTGCATATATTTTGCTCCATTTACTTCCCAGCCATAAAATTTATATATATTTCCTGGTTGTTAAAAAAAAAGCAGTAATTTGACAGACTTGGAAATACACACAAATTTCATGACTGGAAAATAAATTAAGTGAAAATATTCAAAGAATTTATGGCTGGTAAACAAATAAAAGGAAACCTTGCATGACATCTCCCTTCTATTGACCTCCCAGTCATGAAATCTGAAATATTTCCCCTCCATTTTACTTCCCAGCCACAAAATCTGTGTATATTTTCCTATTTTAAAAAGTCCAAGAGGATGGAGAAAAGAGAATGCCAGCAACAGTGGAACTTGCACCTGAACACCACCCACCTGGCCCCATTCACTGTGTCCCCATCAGTCAGCTTCTTAGGGCTTTTCTATGAGCTGTCAGGGCACTTTGCTCCTTTGACAGCTGAAACTTACAAGCACATTGACCAAGCAAGAATATATATAGTGGAAAAACATAAGTGCACACTGGCACACCTTCAAAACAACTCCCCATTTTAAAAAAACTACAAAAGTACTGACACACTTACAACTCCACCAACAAACAACCATCCCAACATGATTTATTTACAGAATAGCTTAGCATGTCATGTGAACCCACCCATTTTGGTTTGGATTGCATGGATTCCTCTGTAAGGGCTTGACATATGTAAGATTTCTGATCACAGCAAAGGGTAACTAAATGAGCCTTATGTATGATATTTTTATTCTTATTTATTTACCTAATATTGTGCTGCCGCTGCTTACTTTGAGGTGAGGAAGCAGCTAGGCCCCTAACAGTAGGGTTGAACAAAACACTCTTCACACCAACAAACTCTGATATGTCAGACATGTTCCCTGAGCACTTCCCTCTTGGATATGTGGTTTGCTCCTACCTGTGCAACTAGATGCAAGAAGGGCTTTCTTTTATTTCATTTCTACCACAATACTAAGTATACATGAAACTGAATATAAATTCTAGAGGAATTCATTACATTTTCTGCCAGATGCAGGCATTTAGTATCAGGTAATATTTTATCAGTTAATTTATCTTTTACAAAAACCCAGTTTACAAATTACTTTCATTTCAATTAGAGACCACATTGCATGCCAGCTTGCTCATTTGAATTTGCCCATTTTTAAAGTTGTCTCTTAAAGCTCATCCTAGTCAAGGTCAGTTTTGTTTTGTTAGACTGATTTTAAAGTAAGGTATGTTAAAGGTACTGCTTTTAAGTACTGGTAAAAGCCTCTTTTTAAAAATGCTAGAAGATTTTGAAAGCATTAAGAGATGTAGCTATGACCTTAAAATATCTCAAAAAGAAACATATAAAATATGCAACATGGATATATGTTCTCTAGCAATTCACCTTGTTTTCTGTTGTTGAAGCAAAGAAACACATGATAGCACCTTAAAAATTACTCACTGACTCAATAAATAATGCTGCAAACTATTTGTAAGTATAGAAATGCCTGTTTCGCATGATCTCAAACAGTAAGTGAAATGTGCGTCAACTATAGTAAATATGCTTCGCAGTGTGTGGGGTGCATTCACTGGAGTAACTACTGATGGCCAACCAGACAGTTTTAGGGTGAAATCTTGTGCATTTTAGACACAAAGCATAAGATTTTAGGCTGCTTTCTCCTGCCTCAACCTGCATAGGATTGTACTCTTAAGAATATACACCTTATTTCATCCCCATCCTGGTGCCCTCCAGATGTTTTGGATTGCAGCTCCCATCAGCCCCTGCCAGCATGACCATGCGACGGTATGCTGGGAGCTGCAGTCCGAAACATGTGGGAGGCTGCCTTATCGATGTATAGAAATCAAGCGGTGCTGGGAGTGTTAGTCTAGCAGCAGGCGATAAGGGGTCAACTTTTTGTCTTGGCAGTGCTGCAATGAAGCCTCGGAAAGAAGTGCAGGACAGGATCCTGACGGGAACTCCGATCACACCAGTTGCTTCGACGATCCCCAAGCTTTCGAGGAAGGGAGAGAGCTCCCCTACTCACTGCTCCGGCAAGGACCAGGCACTGTAAGCAAAACACGGCCAGAAGCTTTCCTCTGGAGAGGGAAGGACGCTGCGAGCCACCGTCGCTACAGGGGCACCCACTTACTTTTTCACAGCTTCTATAGATCCGGGAATGGGAACTCCGCCTCCTTCGCCTCCGCTATCATAAAGCACCCCGCTGATATCTAACAGCAAACCCTCCACGCCCGCAAGGTGTTTAGCCCAATCAGCCATAACGCGGGGTAAGAGCTGCCCGCACACGCCCGCAAGGGCACGACTAGCGGCGTGCATAGTATGCCGCCACCGGATCCTGCCGCGAAGGCGTCTGGGAAATGTAGTTGTCCTTCGACAGGGAAGGCAGCGGGCGGCCTCTGCGTGCGCTCTGAGTAGCGCCTTTGCGGTTATTGACCCCGCAGGCGCTGAGCAGTCGTGCATTAGGATTGTGCTATTGCGCACACAGTGAGCACGGGGACAGCTTGGCGATGCGGCAGAGCAGCAAACGCCCCTCACCGCCGTATTCAGGTCAAGGTGTTCAGCACTGAAGGCCAAACAAGTTGTTCCAGCTGGTAAAGCACAAAATCCCGTAAGTTCCTATCCTCATCTCTGGCAGTGAAAACAGAGTAATTAATGTTAATATTGTATTTCATTTAACACTATTCATGAATCTCTTATGTTAAATGATGGACAAAAATTTGGTATAAGTTCACAAATAAATGCTGTACTGCATACAAAAGATACTCCTTCATGGATCACTGCCTTGTCGTGGCGAAGGGGCTTGCGTAGCTCAATGAAGCTATGAGCTATGCCGTGCAGAGCCACCCAAGATGGACAGGTCATAGCAGAGAGCTCTAACAAAAGGTGATCCACTGGAGAAGGAAATGGCAACCCACTCCAGTATCTTTGCCATGAAAACCCCATGGACAGCACCAAAAGGCAAAAAGATATGACACTGGAAGATGAGCCCCTCAGGTCAGAAGGTGTCCAATAGCTTGAGTGGACTCTGGGGGACGGTGGAGAACAGGAAGGCCTGGAGGAATGTTGTCCATGGGGTCGCAGTGGGTCGGACAAGACTTCGCGACTAACAACAACAACAACAAATACAGAAGATAACATGGCCTTCCTGGGAATGCTTGCTAGAAAAAGAATATCTTCAGTAGGTGCTGAAAACTCAAAAGGGGTAGTGCCAGTATAATTTGTAGTGGTTCAGAGAGTGTGCTATGATAATAAAGGTTCTAGTCCACTCTACAGATAGGCCCCAAGTTACAGATGAGTTCTGTTCCAGAGAACAGCCTTGTAATGTAATCAGATCACATGGGTAAGCCAAATGTTCATCTTGGTATATGTATACATTTTATCTTGCCATGCATATAAAACACTTAAGAAACACTTCCATAGTCACTAAAACATCTTAATAAAGTATTGTAATAATGATAATAATACAGTAATAATAAAGCAACTTACAGGTACTGAAGAGAGAGAGAATCTGTATATGTGTAGGTATATAGTATTGTGGGGGGAAAGGTTCTTAAAACAGTTTAGAACATGAGGTAATATTAACCCTAACAATTACTGATGATGATGGAGATGGACCTGGTGCTGGAGAGTCAGGGTTTGTGTTGCTCAGGTGTGGGGTGGGGGTTTGCACTGGCATCATTTTCTTGAAATAGGCTCAAGGGTTGTTCGTACTGCAATTTTCTTTTTTGCAACATAAATGGCCTTGTAGCAGCAGAAAAAGCAAAGTGGAACAATGGATCCTACACATGTCTTGAAATACAGTTGTTTGGGAATGCTCGAGCCAACACTCAGAAGGATTAATACCGTATCTGTCCGAAACTAGGCTGATGATGATGATGCATCAGCAGACATATTACATAGTTCTCTAGTGATATGTTTTGTAGTTTCAGAGATAGCCATGTCTATCTTTAATGAATTTCTATCTCTAGACAAAGCCATGACTATCTCTAGGGAACTACACGGACACTGATGATGTGTCACCAAACACATGGCAGTTTAGCCATTCATAAGTACAGGTTGTTCTTAACCTGGATGTTCATAACCTGGGGGACTATCTATATCATGGAATTTTAAAATCTTGGGTACCACCAGGAGAGTATCTCCTGATGTATCTCCTCAACCATACAGGTGAGAGATCTCCTCAGACTTCTGGCCCTAAGTTGTTTACGGCTTTGTAAACAGGTTTCAAAACTCTAAACCTGGCACAGAGCTAGTATGAAATGTTAGTGGACATAGGTTTAATATGCTGTTGATAAGCCACTCCAATTACCATCCTGGCAATAAATTGCTCTTGTTATCAAATTAACCTGTTTAGAGCCTTAAAAGCCCTACAACTCTCAGCATACCTGGATGTGGAAGAATGGTAGATCTTTTCATAATCTAACAATGTATAGGATTCCAGCTTAAATCACTAACTATGTGCTGCCCTTTCAGGTCACCCAAAATCTGCTGCCTGAGGCGACTGCTTTCCAAACCTCGTGCACTAAGATTGGACTGGCGAGTCCAGTCCTCCGAGTGGTGCTGCTCAGAGTGGGTGGGGCAGTGAGCAAGTGAGCAGCAGTGGGGCCAGCTGCCGTTGCACCCTGTCCTCCTCCTCTCCCAAAGGCAAAGGACGAGCAAGCAGACACAGTCCTGCAGTGAGACAGGACAAATGGCCTAAGATGTGCCTGGCAGCCCCGTCCTCTGCTTCCTTGCCCTTCCTCTCTCAAGATGGGTAGAGCAGTACTATGATTAGGCTCATGGGGCCCAGTCCCCGCCAATGCACTACTCAGAGGAGAAGGTGACCAAGGGGGCCACCGGTTCAGTGAAGTGTGGGCATTTTCTTTCTAAAAGGAAATGGGGTTACAAAGAGAGAACCCAAAGGACTGACCAACATTTACAAAATATGCATTTAAGGGTTTCTTTTTAAAGCACATTAACCTCAGATTCTCCAGAAGTATTGTTTGATTTGGTCAGCAATTATGCACTCAGCTTTTATAACCATGTACAATGGTGAGAGATCTCAGAAAAGATTGCTTCAATACTCCAAGCTCAAAGCGAAAGCTAGGGATCTGAAGCTAAAACATCAACCAGTTATTTTAAATCAGGGATGGTCAATGCAGTAATTGGGGGCCCAGCATCCCTTCCCCAGGACCCCTCAGGACTTCCTCTTTTTCCCACCTTCCCATCACAACCATACTTTCTCCTTCCTGAAATGTCCCCTTCCTCACTGCTTCCTCCTCTTCCTCCTCCACTGCCATACTCATCCCCCTCCCATTCAAGGTTTCTCCCACCACCTCAACTAACACTGTGCTTACCTCATCCCCCTGCCTTCAAATCTCCCCCCCCCCCGCCCCCACCATTTCCTCTTTAGGGCTGCTGAGGCGAATACAGGAGTGGAAGGATGGGATTTAGGTTTTGGGCAGGGGAAGGAAAATGTAAGTGAATTGCCAGCAGGAGGTGGGAAGTGGGGGTGCTGACTGCAGTGGCAGCTGTGAGGAGCGAAGCATGATGGGGAGGAGATTTCAGACAGGAGGAGGAGACAAGGGCAGGGGAGGGTGGCACGAGGGCCACAGACACTTTTTCAATTTCTGAAACATGCCCATGGTTCCAAGAAGGTTGCTTGACTCTGGTCTACAGGAGCTGAAATTTCTGAACATTTTTCAAAGGTAGCCCTGTATGCAGCAGATTACAGTAGTCCAAACACGTAGCCAAGCTAGGCATAACCATGCCCAGTTCAGACATTTCTAGTGACCAGCACAGTTGGGAAGTTCCTAATTCCTAATCTAGATCAAAAGCTATGAAGAAGATGCCTTGAGGCTCTGACTTCTTAGGGTTTGGGGTTTTTTTAAGTGCTCCTTGACCCTTAAATAAGGCTATTTGGCTTGACCCACTAATTTCTTTGGGACTTATTTATTTATTTATTTATTTATTAAAACATTGTTATGCCGCCCCATTCGCCGAAGCCTACAAAGCAAGATTCTTCAAAATATTCTCTAACCTCTTTTTCCCCTCCATCATTCTCCCCCCACCTCACTTTCTCTCTCGTTTCCCTTCCTTTCTTCCTTCTGCTTTCATATATATATATATGCTTATTTATTTTCAGCCCAATTCTGCAGGATTATAGAAATGAATGGTCTGAGGGGCTTGCCTATTTTTTTTCAGGGTAAGTCCTTTACCCAGACATACTTGGTTCATGTTTGAAAAGTGAAAGGCTTTCTCATAGGGAATGGCACTATCACATTTAAGGATAAGGGAATTCTATCACCAAGAAGCCCAAAGTTGCCACCTGCCTGCTGCATTGTTATACGAATATCCATGTTCCCTAGCTGCCCTACATCTATGCTATCAAGATATAAAATAATGAACTATGATAATTATAATAGGCATTCCCTACAGATGGAGGGAAAAATGAATTCTGAGAGAAGATGCATTACCCAGACTTGTGTTGTGAAGCAGAAATAAAGCCAAACCATGGAGAAAGAGAAGCACAAACGGGAAGACTGCCACAGTTCAGTGAAGGCATATCTCTGTACCTCAGCCAGGATGGATAAAAGGCAAAATAATGGGATTCAGCAGTGAAGATTCTGGACAATGACATAAATATTGTCTGTATGGGAGTAATCTCACAAACCATTATTTATCTGGCAGTACATATTAGTCTTCTCCCTGGGGTAGATTCTGCCACCATTACTCATGTTGAGAAGCACCTTACATGGCAATTTGTCCCATTGAAATGAATTACTGCTGGAGATGTATGGAGGTGTGGTTTTATTGTGGCCAAAAGTAAAGACATAAGCGCTGCAATCCTATACACACTTGCCTGGGCATAAGACCCATCTAATTCAATGGGAAGTCTGAAAAGGGATGCATAAGATTGTACTGAAAATATATACCAGAATATTCTCTGGAAGTTAGTGAGAGAATTGACTTTTGTGTCCTGCATGGTGAACATTTCAAAAAAAGTTGAATCATTGTAATTATTAATCAAAATATTGGATGACAGATAGTCAAATGTTCTATAAACTATTACATCTTTTTAAAGAATTCAGTAGAACTTCAGGCATTGCAATGCAGCAAATTACTTGTGCAGGGGCAGGGGTGCTGTCTTTTAATTTCATAATGTTCCCATATAGTTCTAATTAAGTATTCAGGAGTATCTGCTATT